TGTTTTCATCACATGTATTTATCTATATACCTAAGTAATATTAAGGAAAGGTATTAGACATTTTTGATAATAATGATAAAACTGATAGTAAAAAGTGCTTGTATTTATTAAGCATACCCAGCAGACCAGGTACTGTATTTGGTGTGTTCCTCATGCTATCTTTAAGTAATAATATTTACAAATAGCCTATGACAGGGGTCCACAACCCCTGGACCATGAACAAATACACGTTCACAGCCTCTTAGGTGCTGGGCCACACAGCAGGAAATGCATGGCAGGCAAACGAGTGAAGCTTCCTCTCTATTTAGAGATTTCCATTACAGGTGTCGCCACCTGTGCTCTGCCTCCTGCCAGATCAGCAGCAGGATGGGGTTCTCATAAAAGCACAAACTCTGCTCTGAAATGAAGTGGGCAAGAGGCATCTAGGTTATGGATTCTTTATCAGAAAATAATCATGAAAAATCCATGCTGTCCAAAGTCCATCCTTGGAAAAATTGACTTCCACCACGAAACCAGTCTCTGGTGCTGAAAGACTGGGTAATGACTGCGCAGTGATGCAGACAGTATCATTGCCCTAATTTAATAGGGAGAAACAGGGGGAGGGATAAGTTGTTAGCTTAATGTAAAACATGTTTTGGTGGGCTGAATTACCTTTTTTTTGTGTGTGTGAAGGCAAGATGTCTGTTAAGGAATTTTTTGTGTGTGATTTAATTGCCCCAAATGTCTGTGCCTCAGTTTGCTCACATCTATAATGGAAATGATGAAAAAAATTGGGGGTGGGATAGTAGTATTGGGTTAACTTAAAGATGAGCTACTGATATATGTTGAGGACTTATTTCAAGACACGTAGCAAGCACCCACTTGATGCCAAGTGACAACACCAGAATGACAATGGTGGTTGTGATGGCAATGTTGATATAATGAGAAAAGTCCCTTTAGTTTTTGAACTGAGCTACAGAATCTGAGGATGAGAATAAATAAAACATTTGCTTGCCCATATTATTTCCGTAGAGCTGTGCTTAAACCAAAACGCGATGATTCAAATGAGAACGGATCAAACGGCAAAGGTGGATTCAGAGCCAGTGTTCTGGCTCTGCCCATGAGTTTTCAGTATACCTCTCCACTTGCACTGCGGAAAAATCAATACTACCCCAATCTCACTGGCTTCAGGTAACTTGTAAAGTTAAATTTTTTCTGGAAATTCACAGTTGTGGTCCTTGATGGACTTGTAATGCCATCTTACAAGAGTGTAGTCAGCCTCTGGTCTTAAGCTCTGATGACTATGCCAGTCACTTGTTTTTCTTCCCCTTTGACAATTAGCATCCTATCATTACAGGATGCCTGGAGAGTAAAATAAAATTTCAACTCTCACATATTCCCACGCCTCCACTCTGCTTTTCTTGCTCTCCTGTTCATTCCACATTTATTTGTTTGCAAGTATATATTGGCAGTTGCTAACATCTAATTTGGGTTAATAAAAAGAAATGCGAATTAAGTCTCTAAACTTGCTCTGTGATCTTCTATTTCAGAATTGATTTTCCCTCTGAATTATTTGCACTGTATTGATAAAACACTGTTATTGATCTAATACAGATATGCACACATATGCACACAAACAGCAACACTGTTTTCCACTTAGCTCTCAAGTAAACAGCACTCACAGTGTTCATAATGTATGTATTGCCTTTCAGCTTTTTTGCATCTGTGATCCTGTTTGAGCTTTTCTAATTCACTTCTATATATTTTATAATCCACTGAATCAGAATCAAATATCTTTTTTTTTTTTTTTTTTTTTTTTTTTTTGAGACAGGGTCTCACTATGTAGTTGAGATTGACCTGGAACTCACTATGTAGCCCAGGCTGGTCTCAGACTCAGTGATCCTTTTGCCTCAGCCTCCCGAGTGCTGGGATTGTAGTTGTGCACCACCACACCCTGCCTATTTTTTTTAAACTAGACTTCAAGGTCTTTGCTTCATTTTGCTTAATTTCCTTAATAATTAATCCAATGTAGTTCTCAATACTCTAAGTTAATTAGCCATCTAATTCCAACACAGAGCCATAGAAATAAATTCTCCCTGTAAAGTGAATAAAGAGTTATGTTTATCAGCAAACCTGTTTGGAGTAAACTGCTTTAAGGGACCTATTCTCATGTGCAATTATTGACATTTCTCCATTTCAATACTGAAGTCCTTCATCAAGCTTTAGGTCATTTTTTACTTGGAACTTTGTGACAATGATGGTTTCCAAAGCTATTTTCATTGTAAGATGATACATCAGTTCATGCATTTTCCAAGAAGAAACAAATAAAATCAAAATTCAAACTACATTTTAGACTTACTTTAAGCCTATAAGACCCAATCCTTTATAAAAATATTAAGCCATGTCTTAAAAATTCAAAGCAAGTTATACAGCATGGAAAAAATCTTTTTAAAATTATCATTTTCTTAAGAGGGGGGGGGGACAGGAGTAAGATGTTGTCTTTAACTAGACCCTCTAGTAATTACCCAGGCAGTTTTATAGACTAGTACTTTACTTCAGTGATTCCTCATTCTGGTAATGTCGTTTTGATGACGGTGGAAAGAACTGTTGAACAGTGTTTTAAGTTAAAACTCAATCTGGTTCATGAAAGTGGAAAACAAACAAACAAACCTAAAATAGCACCATGATATACATTCTTTTTAAACAAACAGCATTTTCTAGAGATGGAATCTATTAGTTTTATGACAAAATAGTATTTCTATATACACAGCAGCACACATTGTCATATATAATGTACAACAAATGAACCAGGCAAGTTTCTTATTTTTACTGCACTGATATTTACTTATATACTGTGAACTATTCTGTATTCTACAACTAAAGGGCTTTGCAGAGAGGTTAGAGTCGATATTTGATTCACAGAATCAAATAATTGAAAATAGGCAGCAGAAAGGAAGATGTAATGCTTAGATTTAACTGGTCTAGAAATGTACAGTAATATTTTACTGTTTCCTCTTAGGCTTTTTATATTTCCATTGGGGGAAAACATGCACAGAACTAGAAAGAGATTAAAGCTACAGACATTTAGGTTAGAGAAAAGGAAGACTGGATACATAAGATCCTCTGACCAACTCCAAAGGCAGTTGTAAAATCATTTCTGAAGCTCGGTTGAGTATAGGAGTTCTGTTTAAATGTATTTTTAGAAGCATAGCTTAAATTTTTTGAAATATTAGCGTAAGGATTGATTTTCTTGGCATAAGCATGAAATGCAACAAAGTAGTCACAAAAGTTATTCCTTTAAAGTGTTGTTTAAGGCATAATACATTTTGAAGGGAAGTTTTCGCATTTGAGAAAATTTCATTGTTTAATGATTTTTTTCCACATTAATGACACTTGTGCAGTTTTAAATCCTTTTTTTAAAAGAGAAATTCCAATTCTCTCTCTGCAAAGTAGCCTTCTATTGGACCTGATCACACTTTATCATGCATTCCTATTTGACAGAAAGATACTGAGGTGTAAGAATATGTAAATTATCAACAAGGTACTGTGGTTCCCCTCTCCTCTCTTCTACTGGCTCCTGGGGTGACCTTGGACAGGTCACTTTTGAATGCCATTCTTCAACCTCCTTGTTGGCACCTCAAGAGAGTGTCAGAAGTCATGAGCTCTCTTGCTCTTTGCCTGACATTCTATTCAGAAATTTTCTTAATTCACTATTTAGATGAGATCAGAACTACAATTTTTTTTTAGTGTTCTGCGATTGAACCCAGAGCTTTGTCCATGGCAGCAAATATTCTACCACTGAGCTACACCCTCACCCCAGATTTTCATTTTTAACATTTCAAAAATAAATTTCTCACATTTAAAAAGTCTTAAACTGTTAGCAAATAATTAAAAGTAATCAAAATAAGTTATCCTAGCATAAAATTAAGAACAAATTAGCTAATAGAATAAGTGGTCACCTTATACTATAAGAAAGCTTATACTTAAAGCTGTTCCTTGATTTTTTATGATTTGTCAAAATTTCTCTCCACCTTTCATTTAGTATGCTAGTGTTTAGTAAATTTAGAAATATCCATGAATAGTAGTTCTCTCTACATACTATTTCATATTATTCTAAAAAAATGATTTTTAGTGCAAGAATTCACAATTGTAGCTGAATATTATGTATTATAAACCTACACTGTTTCAATCAATACTGAATTCTTTACTTGTAGACTGAATATATAAATATTGAGAGAGTTATAGATTTAAATCCAAGAGAATGTATGATTATATGAGGGATGGACATATGATCAATTTTCATACAATTGTACTCATTTTGGCTGTCTCAAAATAGTAATCAGTGTCAAAATAGTCATGAGTGTCATTTACTTCACGCAAAATATTCACACAACATATGATCTGAGCAGCAAATCCAGAAAATTTACTGTAAGTTATATCCAATTCTGAGATTAAGTACCAGTCACAACAGAAATAATTTCTGAAATTTTAAATTTCCTTTTTTTAATGAAATTTTAAAGATGTACATTGCTTAAATTGGTTTGGAAAAATACTGAAGAATCCAACCTTCTGAGTTTTAAATCAGGCATTTGGAGATTTATTAAGAAGAAGTCACTTTAGTGGTATCTCTTCTTCTTGGCAAAAAAAGCAGGGAAGGAAGGATTCACTCATGCCTCACACTTTTGTGAGAAGATGTGTTTGTTTTTATTTTATGCTATACAATAAGAAAATAGTCCTTACAGATCTATTAGTAAACGAGTTGAGCATAAAAAGACATAAAAAGAAAACGCTACTTTATAGAGGAAAAGAGTAAACTCTATTTGGGTCATATTTTAGAGATGACATTTTGCTAAAAGTATTTGACTCAGTACTTTACTTAACTTTTCCTCTTCCGATTTCAGGGTTTAGCTCTAAGACCTAGGGAGTCACCAAATGAGTGCAAGATGCTGTCATTACTCTCCCACTCTGCTTCTCCCTTCTCCACAGGTCCCTCAAGAGCATAAAGATATCCAGGCTCTTACCTAGACTCCTAGGAGGAGCTGCAGCGCCAGGCACAACACGGTTCAGAACTCAGGCTAGGAAAGAAGTCCGTCCCTGTGAGCTTCTCCAAAACATAAGTTCACGTTTCGCGGTTGAGATCATGGCTCTATTCTAAGCAGTTTTATGCAGTGTGTGATTCTAACAAAAACACCCTCCGCAGCTGGAGGCAGCCTCGGCTAAAGCCGGATCCTGTCAAGGCGGTCCCAGGGACTTCTGTCTACTAAATTCAGACTGATGTTTTGCGAAGGGGGCCTCCACAACCAGGCCCAGATTGCCTGGAAAGTATTTCCTGCCTCTGAGAAGTGTGCATGTGAGAAAGACTGCGAGGCGGAGGGGAGGGGAGAGCCGAGCAGCCTGGGCATTTCAGGAGTTCTGATTTTACACAGAACTGAAGTGGGTTTGTCAGAGCTCTCGAGGTGATTAGCTAGAGAGTCATAAAGTCCTAGAGCTTTTTCTATCCCACACTGCTTATGAGAAAAAGGGAGGGTTATATCAAAATACCTCTGCCAACTCTCATTTCAAAAGACCTTTAGCACAAGATGAATTTAGTTTTCGTATCATCATTATTCCAAAAATTTTAAACGTTTAAAAATATTAGCTAGAATTTAAAATGCTGCAGCCTTGCATGCTGTACCTGCGAAAAATCTGTAAAATCCCGAGAATCCAGTAAGTCGAATATTTTCTTCCAGTTATCAAAATACCTCTGCCAACTCTCATTTCAAAAGACCTTTAGCACAAGATGAATTTAGTTTTCGTATCATCATTATTCCAAAAATTTTAAACGTTTAAAAATATTAGCTAGAATTTAAAATGCTGCAGCCTTGCATGCTGTACCTGCGAAAAATCTGTAAAATCCCGAGAATCCAGTAAGTCGAATATTTTCTTCCAGTTCTCTTTGAGCCCAAGAATTCTTCACAGAATCAAGTCGTTTAGTTTGTGTTACAGCGTCTGCTGCATTACCTCTAGCCAGAATTCTCCAGATCTACACAAACCCAGTGCTGGAAAAGCAGAAGACAGACTCCATCTTGATCGTATTAGAGTCTTGCTGACACTAAACACTTGCAACTGTTTCCCTCTAGCCTAACAGAGTCCCCGAATCACATCTCTAAACCGGCTCACAGTCCTTGCATCCTTGGTCCGACACAAATTTTGTGAACTATCATCTGTTTATCTTTGTTGCTTTCTTGTGCCTCCACTGAATGACTTCCCCCTGGCTGCTCCAGGCTGGGAACTTGGACTACCATTTGGTTTTGATTAAAACCAGACAGCTAACTCTGGAGAATTTAGGGAATAAGCTAATGGAAACTGCAAGTATGGCTTTAATTAGTACATCAATTAATAATAGATGTTAGCTCGTCTTATAATAAGATGTCACTAATACAAATGCTCAAGTCATTTCAGGAAAGCAGTTGGTTGTACAGTTCTCTTTCCTTGATGAGCCAGAAATCTCTGCAGGGAGAGTGGAAAGAAAGAAGAGGGAGGTGGCCTTGGGACATCCAGGTTGTGAAGAGGCCAGTGGGGTGGCTTCGTTGTTTGTAAGAGAGAGGCAGGAAGCAGCATCTCTGAGTTTAATTATCTTGTCTGGTTGAAATTACTCAGTAAAGTCTCCCTTCTTTATTCACAATTAGTGGATCCTATGGTTGTTTGTGACCAAAGCATTTTTCTCAGGGTTTGATGATCAGATTAATGTAATTGTTGAATCTATACGGAGATTTCAAATATCTAGTTTTAATAACATGCGTAAGAATAATCCTAAATTTGATGTGATAAGTGAGTAGCATATAAGGAGTTATAAGAAAGGTCAAGGCTGTTTGCACTAATATCTGTCCTTTTCACTGAAACTCTAAGTACTTCTCATAGTTCACATTTATTCTGAGTTGGCTCTGACTTTTATAACAGCAAGCTGGTCCTCAGATATCACAATGACCATCTTTGTTAAACTCCCTGTGAACACTGGACAGGTGATAACTTGGAGAAGTACGTTGTATAGCTACTGTCCCCTAAAATCTCTCAAAATTAATGCAGAATATGAGCTACGGAGTGACACATCAAATAGCAAAAATTACTCTTACCAGCTTGACTCTGAAGATGAGAACTATTCATATAAAAACATGGAGGCAGAAACGATTTAAAAAATGTAGATCAAAATCTCACTGATAATAAAGTGAACATTTGAATTCTTTTAATTTAACCTTCAATGATACACAAAAAAGAAGTTCATTCTTTCATAAATTCTTTAAAGAGTATTTATATTTGTATTTAAACTGTTTCCATGGACACTATACCCATTTCAACTTCCTGATACTCTTTGTGTGTATTTTTATTTTTATTTTGTAGATAAAGCATTAGGAAGTAATTTTCTCTCAGTTAAATAATGGAAAGTGGCCAATCCTACATTTAGAATGAACCCCTCCAAACTCTAGTGATTTGTGTTTCATTTTTTCCTCTATAAACAGCCTCTACCGATGTCCACTTAATTATGGTGTGAAACTACAAAGACTTCTTGCACTCTGAATTTCAGATCCCTTTTTAAAAATAGAGACAATTTCCTATAATCCATAGATTGGAAGCCAGGATTAAATTTGTGTGCATTTGTATTTATATTTATGAGAATTGAGATATCTGCTTTCCTAAAATAACTTGCATATCTTTATCTTGCATCTATCTCAGCTTCTAGTCCTGCTATATGGTGGCTGCTTAATATAGGACCACTCTCCCAAAGCTTCATGACTTTCCTGCCAAATTCTATAACCTCACCCACCTCCTCCTTTATATAATCTGTTTTGTTTCTGTTTATGCTGGCCTGAGGAAACAACAAACCCTACCCACATGCATTTATAAAATGTCTTTTAGATATCTAGACGCTCTTATTAGTTTCTCCTCAACAGTCTCTCTTCTCTATACAAATAAGATTTCATGTTGTCTTAGTAGAAGCATCATTTTCCAAATCTTTACTCACCCTGATTTATTTTTCATCTTCAATTGATTAACTCCAAATGAATCTCAGAACTTACATTCTCCGCAAAGGGGTTACCAAATATGCAGAGAAAGATAAATAATGAGATAAGTTCCTAAATACTTAACATAGAAAGAGTTGAACACATTTGCCTTTTTTTTAAATTTGTAAATCTATATGCTTCATCTCTTAAATGCTCGCCAGTCACTCTATAGAAGATCAGATAATAAATAGGGAAGAGGGGCAGTTGAGAACTTGAACCAAAGTATCAGGAGATGAGCCCAGCTCCAAATCAAGCACAGTAACCCTTTCCAAGTTACTTAACCTGGGTAAGATTTATTTTTAGCCTCTGTAACTACAGATTTTCAAACTCAGAGATGTTAATCCATGTAAAACCATTAGGCTTTATAATTGATATTGTGGTCTTTCTAAGCTAGAATTATTTTTGTATTTAAATTCTTGTTTTTTATCTTTACAGTTCTCTTTTGGATGACATTTTTAGAATATTTATAACTACTAAATGCTTGTCAATCAAACTTCAAGTTAAATGTACATTTGAAATGATTATATTGGTAGAACACTTTCATAATCTTTGGAAAGAAAAGAATAGCAGAAAGATTAAGTTACTTTAAAGATCAACTTTATTCATATACTATTATCTAAAATTTTAAATAGTTGGCTATGATAAATATGATTAATTGACCAATATAGCTTAAGTGATGATTCTCCATGAATTTTTAGGAAATTTGAATCTAGATTTTCTTTGCAGACATGTTCAACCACGCTAATGTCATTCAATAATCTTTTGTGAAAAGCAAGATCTATTCTTTCAAAATAGCATTTTACCTCTCTCCTATAATTGAGTAGCAAGTATCATTAATTCAGTATTAACATTCACCATAGGCCTTTTTTTTTTTTTTTGAGACAGGGTCTCACTATGTAGTTTACATTGACCTGGAACTCACTGTGTAGCCCAGGCTGGACTTGAACTCACAGTGATGCTCCTGCCTCAGCCTCTTGAGTGCTGGGATTACAGGTGTGCACCACCACGCCCAGCCACCATAGGCTTTTATTATTTCCACTTTTATAAATGGATAATTTCATAGTATTTAAGATTTTCAATACTTTTTACATGTGCTTTCTCCAAATAAATTCATCTTACAGACATTGATTAAGGTAGAAGAAAAAGCATAACCTTAATTTAATAATTATTAGGTACATATTACTTTTTCATCAATTTTGTTAAAATTTTAACATTGCTTTTGTTCATCATTTAGAATTCATGTGAAAGCATTCATTAAAAAAAACATTTAAATTTAACGTTGTTACCAAAGATAGAAAAATTATATAAGTAATTTAGAACAAATTATACTTGCTTTTACATCATTATATTTATTTTCTCCCTTCATCAAAAGTTATTACAATCCAAAAACTGGTGTAAAGAGAAAGCATCCTAATAAATTTAAAATTCTTTTTAAAACAATTTTAGAAATAGAAAAAGCACATCCATATGTAAGCACATATATAAGTATATACACACATAAATATACAGACACACATACACGCACAAAAATATGTACGTATCAGGGCACATAGGGTTAGAAGGTGATTGATTTCCTTGCTTGTCCAATAGACTTAAAATACTTGTCTTAGTTCTTTTGTCTCTCTTGGATCCAGAGCCACCTACAGTACCAGACACCCACAAAGCAAAGATACGGTTTTTTTTTTTGGCTCATGTTTTCTAGAGGTTTCAATCCATAGTCAGCTGTCTCTAAGACAGGAAGGCATGGTAGAAGGCCCTGGCAGAGGAGAGCTGTTCACTTCATTCCAGCCAGGAATCAGAGAGGGAAGGGAGAAGCCAGGGTGAAGACACACCCTTCCCTGTCAGACTCTCCTGACCAGATCATGCCTCCACACAGCAAGTAGCTATACTGCCCCATAATCCACTCGCCTTTCAAAGGCTCCCCTATGCTTAAGGCTTTGGGAGGACATCTAGATATAAATCATAACAGTACTCTTCAAAGATAAAGACTGCACGTTCCAGAAACAGTCAGAGAATCAACTTGGCTCCAATGGGAGGACAGAGGAGAGACCTAGAAGACAAGCTCAGGTTTGGGATAAGGAACACGTGCGGTAGTGTATCGTGTACTTTAGTGAAAAGTAGAGCCCTGGCAAAATTTGAGCAGAAAAGTGGTAAGATCTACTTTACATTTGAATAGGGTCACACTAGCTGCTCTGTTAAGATTAGGCTGGAAGGGATTACAGGCCCAAACAGGGACACCAGTTTACCAGTTAGCAGTTATCACGATGATTTGAGTCAGATGGTGGATGATGGCCCAGGTGGAAGAATGTGACAGGTGAGATTTTAACCTTTTGTTGTTGCATTTCATGCTATGAGTATTTCTTGAGGACCTGAATTTGCTATGTAACAAGAAAGGGTTATCATAAAAGCTTCCTAA